TAAAATTTTAAAATATATAGAATTATTATAAGTTTATTAAAAATAATAATATTGAATGCCTAATAACAGATTTTTTTTACAAATAAAATCATAAATTTATATATATATTTTTAAAATAAGTTGATATTAGTTCTTTTTTAAGTTTTTTTTTCTTAAACTAAACTAAATTAAATTAAATTGTTTTTATATTTTTTATTTTTTAATTAAATTATTATTATATTTTTTTATTTTTATTTTTTTTTACTGTATAAACCTAAAATAATGCACAGGAGCATTATTTCAAATTTCAGTCCAAATTAAGCTTAATTTAGGCTGAAATTTGAAATTACACCCCTGCATATTATTTTAGGTCTATACGGTAATTAAATTATCATTATTTATTGTGGCAGATTAAAATGAAATTGGATTAAAATGAAATTTTTCTATTTTTTTAAAAAAATTTAAAATTTTTTAGTGGACATTTTTTAGGGTTAGGGTTTAGAGGTAGTTTTATTAATAAAAAAGTATAAGTAGGTTTTATAAGCTTTAAAGATGAGCAAGTAAGGTCCTCAGTTTTATTTTAATCTGATTTCATTATGATTTGCAATATTTATTAATTAAAAAATATTGCTAATTTGCCCCCTGGTGATTTAACCACCCCACAATTCACCAATCATGTTGCAGGATCTTGTGTAACAAAATAAAAAAATTTTTAAAAAATTTTAAAAAAAATTAAAAAATTAACAATATTGCGAAATTTTATTACAAGAACTAGTTATAAGCTATTAAGTAAAAGTTTTTAGCACTTAATTTTGCATATAAATAAGCTATATATTAACTTAATATAGCTAGTATTCTAACCTTAATCTTTAAAAAATATTTATTTATATAATGTAAAAAATTCTATAAAAATAAAGGGTAATTAAAATTTTATGATTTTAGCCAGAGGTTAAAATAAGTTAAATTCATAATTAAATTAGTATTTTTTTTAAATTAAATTATTTTTTTTTCATTTATTATAAAATGCATCTATGGTAGTTTTGTACCTATTATATGTTTTTATATATAAAATTTTTAGCACAAATTTTTCATGTTGAGTTAGTATTTAGTCATAAAATTAAAGTTTAGGAAGGGTTTTTGGGGATGTAAAGCATTTTTACTTAAAGTATCGCATATTGATTAATTAGCCAATTTTTAAATAATACAACATAGGTGGTAAAACATCATAGATGCATTTTAGTAAAAGTGTTTTTACTTTAAAAAAAATTATTTTATTTTTTGAATAATATTTAATTTTTTTTTTTAACATTAAACTTTTTTTCAACTTGTTTTTTTTAATAACATTAAATTATTTATTTTTTTTTATTTTTTATTAACATTATTATTTTTAAATTATTTTAAAAAAAAAACTTTTTTAAATTAATAGTCTTAAATTATTATCGATTAACTTATTTTTTTTTAAAAAAAAAATTATCTTTTTAAAATTATTATCTTTATTTTTATTTAATTTAAATTACTTAACTTACAGTATTTATATGCACTTTTTCTACTCTCTATTCTTTTCTTTATTTTTTTTCTTTTGTTTTTCTTTTTTTTCTCTTTCACGCATTCCTTTTTTGTATTCCAGTAGGTGGTAGGTAGGTGTCTTTAAAAGCAGATAAGTAGATGGTAGGTGGTGGATGTCTTTAAAGGCGGGTAGGTGGATAGTTGGGTGCCTCTACAAGAAGATTGATAGATGGTGGGTATCTTTACGGATAGGTAGATAGATAGATAGATAGATAGTTAATTCTCTACAGGTGGATCCTTTATGGGCAAATCTTTATGATCGGGTGTCTTTATGGATGGTATCTTTATAAACAGGTGTTTTTATGAGGTATCTTTACGGACTGGTTGTTGCTCAATTCCCCAAAAGCTATTTACCTGCCAACTCATTTCTCCAACACTGCAATGCCAATATATTATTTCATCTACAGCATATTTTTTTGATAAGACATATTCGACATTGCATATTTTTCTTAGATAAGACATTCCCCGACAATTATTTCTTCAACATAAAATTGGCCTGATTTAGAGTTAGTGTTAGAATCATATGTCGGGAAATTATTGTTAGGGAAATGTCTTGTCTAAGAAAGGATTGTCAAAAAATAATGTCAAACATATGTTTTATCAAGAAAAAAGTGCTGTAGATGAAATATTATGTCGGCATTACGGTGTCGGGGAAATGAGTTGGTGGATAAATAACTTTCAGGGAATCATGCCATAACCTTATGGACGCAAGTGGGTGTGGATGTTTGTAGGTGGGTAGTTGTCTCTTTGTGAATAGGTGGTATTTTGCTGGTGGTGGGTTACAAGTAGGGTTATACCTCTTTAAATTCGATAGTCCCTAAACTCTACATTGAGATCATTGTAATTTTTATCGTAAGTCACTAAAAAATTTCTATTACAAAACTTACTCACCATTCCAGTAATACCAGTATATAGGTAAGGTTGAGTTAGTCTACATCATATAATCTCTGTCGAAAGTCACCATAAAAATTCCAATACTGAACTTATTTGCTACTGCAGGTATATGTATAGTTAAAGGTTAAGTTGGCTTGCATTGGAATTATCATGAATCATTGTAAAAATTTTTCTACAAACCTTACTTGTTATTCCGGTAATACACAGCATGTGGTTAAGATTGAGTTAGTTGCGTTGGAATTATCGTGATTCTTGCTATGTGGTTAAAGGTTGAGTTAGTCTACATTGAGTGTAATTCATATCGTGAGTTACTAAAAAATGAGTTAATCTATGATGGAATTATCATGATTTCTGTCGAAAGTCGCTGTAAATTCTAATTCGCATATATTAAAAAGATTAAGTTAGTTTGAATTGGAAATTATTGCAATTTCTGTCATGAGTCACTATAAAAAATTTGATACTGATCTTACTTGCTATTCCGGCAATACACTGTATGTAGTTAAAGTAGAGTTTGTTTGTATTGGAATTATTATCATCTTACTCCGGTGACACAGATATGAGTTAGTTGCATTAGAGGTATCGTGGTTCCTACCATGAGTTGCTATAAAAAATTTTAGTACAAAGTTAGTCTACATTGAGATTATTGTAATTCCTATCATAGTTACTAAAAAAAAATTTTGTTACAAAACTTACTCACCATTCTAGCAATACCAGTATGTAGTTAAGAATTAGTTAATCTATGATGGAATTATTATGATTTTTGTCGAAAGTAGCTGTAAAATCCTAATTCACTACTGTAAAGTATATATTAAAAGTTAAGTTAGTTTAAATTGGAATTAGTGCAATTTCTATCATGAGTCACTGTAAAAATTTTGATACTGATCTTACTTGTTATTCCGGAAATACACTGCATGTGGTTAAAGTAGAGTTAGTTTGCATTGGAATATCATCTTACTACTCCAGTAACGCAGATTTATTGTGGCTCCTACTGTATAAAAAATTCTAGTACAAGTAGTCTACATTGAGATTATTGTAATTTTATTGTAATTACTAAAAAAAATTCTGCTACAAAACTTACTCACCATTCCAGTAATACCAGTATATACTTAAGAAAGAATTAATCTACAATGAAATTATTATGATTTTTGTTGAAAGTTGCTGTGAAATTCCAACTCGCTACTGTAATATATATATTAAAGGTTAAGTTAGTTTGAATTGGAATCATTGCAATTTCTACCGTGAGACACTATAAAAAATTTGATACTAATCTTACTTGTTATTCCGGCAATACACTTTATGTGGTTTAGTTGGCATTGAAATATCATCTTACTACTCTGGTGACTCAGATGTATCGTGGTTCCTACCATATAAAAAATTCTAGTACAAAGTAGTCTACATTGAGATTATTGTAATTCTATCGTAATTACTAAAAAAAATTCTGTTAAAACTTACTCACCATTCCCGCAATATCAGTATGTAGTTAAGAATGAGTTAATATACGATGGAATTATCCCTGTAAAATTCTATCGCTACTCTAATGTATATATTAAAAAGGTTAATTTAGTTTGAATTGGAATTATTGCAATTTCTATCGTGAATCACTATAAAAATTTTGCCAGACCTTACTTGCTATTCCGGCAATACACAGTTGTGGTTAAAGTAGAGTTAGTTTTGCATTAGAATTATCATCTACTCCGGTGATGCGTTTAGTTGCATTGTGATTCTTAAACAAAGTATGTGATTAAAGCTTGTCGTTACAAAACCTACTATTCTTGCAATATCATATTAGATTCGATTGGCTGTTAAACGCGTAATCTAATTTTGTTACACGACTATTCAAATAAGGTACGCGGCGTTACGTTTTAATAAAAATTATCAAAACCGTAATTTCGGTCATCAAAGAGCGTAGAAGTAAGAGTCTGTCGACAATTAATAATATTCATAATCTTACCAGATTTTTGTTGTCACCTGGAATTTCCATTTGCTTGGATAATTCATCCTTCTGATACGATGAAGCAGTGCTCATCACTTTTAGAGTATTTACTTGTATGTCGACATTTGTATCATACTGTTTAACAATATACAACAGTATTAGATGAATTAACGATTGAAACATATCCACTAATCGTTATATACCTGTTGTTTTTTTAAAGTTCGTTTCTTTTCAAATTGATCCCAGAATTCAGTGGCATTTGAATCCTTAAATAAAAAAATAAATTATCTATTAACTTGCTTTATATGTAATTATACAAAATCATTGATGCTTGCTATACATTGCACCGAGGGCGTCACCTAGCTCCAGAAGTTAACAGGGCGTCACCTGCTTCCAGTGGTGCAATGCATAACAAGCAATGTATATTGTGCCGAGGGCGTCACCTAGCTCCAGGAGTTAACAGGGCGTCACCTGCTCCCAGTGGCACAAATACATATGATAGGAATTAAACAGTCTGGAAATAATCTAGCACCGAATTCTGACCTGAATAAGAAGAGTTGCTATAATAGTACTTTTTTTTTATCCGAACGACCTTTTGCGATTTCATTTAAATGTTCGTTAAATCGTTTCTTCCATAAAGATTTTAATGCACTCAGTTTGGTGCTGATATTAATGTGAGGTTCCACGGCCTCGAGATACCCAGAATATGACCATTCGCTCGTAGGAGTTGACGTAAAGTATTTCTTTCCCACAATTTGTGATATCTTGTATTGTGACGACATTGTTTAGTGCGAATGCATTGGTATAGTTCCAAGTGTATAGAAAAGTAAACAACGGATTTTTTATAGTAAATGTGTTTGTTATTTATGTTACACAAAAGCTGTAGAATTTTCCTTTGCAGTGATGGATATAGGAATTAGGTAGACATATACTGTATTTAAGTAGGTATTTTAGTATCGCAAATTGGTTTATAGAAGAAAGCTAATTTATTACAGTATTAGGTTTTTTTTTGTGTAAAGTGTTCTTTATAATTCGGTATGTTATTATAAGGGGTAGATGTATGTCGTATATAGTTATATAATAATTTGGGTTTATTGTTGGTATAGAGGTTTTTATATTTAATATAAAATTTTATGAGAAAAAAGAAAATTTAATAGTAAGTTGTTGTTTGGGAAGCGTGAGAGTAAAAAAAATGAGAGGTTTTTTGAATTTTTTTTTACAATAAGATTATATAGGAATGTTTATTAATATTAAGCAGCTAAGAGAGGATCATGGTAGAGGGTGGAATCGATGAATATTTATTCGGGCATCGATAATTCGGTCAATTATCGAGCATCGGTCAAAATTAAAATTTAACTATTGTTTTGATAGCAATAGCAGTATAATTGATAAATTTGATACAGTACAATTGATAAATTTAAAAACGTAGCTATAGCAATACAATTGATAAATTAAATGTTACGCAATTTTTTTTATGTT